TTCTGTATTTATCTGGGAGTGGAGAAACATTCGTGTGACATATCCGTAAGCTTCCATCAGTCAGATATTCAGCTACCTCTAACGACCCTTATCGAAGTCAATCTCATGACACATACCGCAAGGATTGATCAGCGCCAAACATTTTAAACTCTAGCTTTATGGATAAAAATGCGTAGTCCATAAATGACTCCATGCATAAATTCTTCACAACAAAATTGTCTTAAGAGTATGTACCAGTTGTAGTGATAGGTTGTATAAATGTCTGAGTAATCTAACCGTAATAACTAAAGGCGAAAGAATTCCAAACTTGTTCGAGCTGTGCTCGCTCCATTGGGTTCGAGTCAACGTGATAACGAACTCCCAGATCGCAACAACAGCCGGAAATGGACCATCGACTGGCATTGACGTAGATCTGAAAAAGGCGAAACCACCAAAACGTTAGAGGAATAAAAGTTTTGTGTAGCTAACTCGTGTCACCTCAAGTATGTGGAAAATTATCGATTACTCACACCGACTTTAATGAAAGTCGCTTTTTAAGACAAAGATGGAGCCATTCCCTTCACCAAAGCACAGAATAAATATCGCAATGGGCTCAGAGCGACTTCGTAATTTCTGGCCCATATTGCTTGGTGTTTAAATGCTGTTTGCAGATGGGAATCCTACTACTGTCTCCCAGGCTGAAGAGGTGAAAATTAATGTGTGCAAGGTCAGTTACAAAAAAACCTATGCTATGTCAAAACCCAACATACCACCACTGCCTATCTTTCCAAACAGAAAAAAATTGTTGGACTCATAGCAAAATTGGGTTGCTCTTTGTGATTTTGGGGCGAGCAACCACATTGTAGCATTGTAGGCAAATGGCAATTCTAGTCTACTCGTAATCAGTCGATGGAGTCACTTGATACTTGACGGATCACAAGTGTTCGCTGTGCACCTTCATTAGATAGGAAAGAAAACTCATGAGCTCTACTTTAGTCGTATATTACTTTTTCACGTCTCTTAGACACTTTTTTTTGTTCTAAAACGCGTTGAGTGCTAGATATATGCGCCACACAAGAGACCTCATCATTGGTTTTTCTTCTATACACCACTGCTACTGCAATTTTTTCTTCCGTGAGTGCTGTGCTGTTCTTAGTCGACGATTGTCACTTTATATTTCAAATAATCGTTCGTCTTTCACGTTATTACGACAGCTGTGATACACCGGAAGCTGCATACGATGTCTGTCGGCAGAGGCTGCGAGGCTTGCAAAGCAAATCCGACTGCCGACGTAACTGCCAACGATGATAACTTTCGTTCATCAGCTGACGGTCGTCGATTGCTGTTTTTTGAAGCTCACTAAATGAACCTTCAGCTTATCGAAAGCACTAGCCATCTGTGGCTCTCTAAATTGCTGAACAAGTTTGTTTTTCATGTTGAAGCGGTCAAATGTTATTCTAACATGGAACGACGACGGAATGTCCTACTGCGACAAATCTATGCTGAGATTCGATAAGGGGAAAAACTGCATTGTGGTCGCCGGTGTTTGGCAAAAACTCTGGATTAGTTCCTGCTGCGATCTATTCATCTCTTGTCTTCTCAGCATGGCCCTTTCGATTGTGGCAAAGATGCTTCCATATTCATCATTCGGTTCATAATAGATATGACTTATCAACACATAGTACTAACTGTACTAAGATGGTGGTTACAATGAAATAACTGTTAGGAAAGAAATCATTTCTAGTTAAGTTCTTCAAAAATTATTAGACCTGGCTTTGCCTCTATTTTCGTGATCATTACAAGTAGTGTAGCAGCTAAAGTTGGTTCTCAAGAGGAAAGACTTTTTGACGGAGCCCACCCACTTCTCGCTCATTTTTTGCCTATGTCGAAGTCTTTTATTATATGAACTTAATATTTTAAAGAATCAGAACATTTTCGCAACGATTGGAAAGTGCAGACAGAAATAATAAGTGTCAAGCTGTAGTTTCGTTTTATTGGCGTAGTAGTATATACACTTCTTCTACCTTCCTTCACAGTTTTCCTACCGGTTATGCTGTTTCTCCCATGTGATGGTCGTTGTTGTGGATTTCTTTTAATGAATGATCCAGTAAATTTTAAGCCAGGTAGAACCCGCAACTACACTTTCCGGTGGCTCACCTTTTACCCACTGCACCACAGAGGCCCTTGCTTTGCCTTTCTCTCAGCCAGTTTCCTACCTAACGGTGTCATCGACTACAAGCTCAGCTTAAGCGGGTTCAATTCCTATTTGTGCCCCGCAGATCACTCCAGTTGACGGATGATTACTGATGGCTGCCGTTGAGTGGAAAGCTGGCTGAGAGAAAGTCAAATAAAGGGCTTCAGTGGTGCAGGGTAACACTTGAGCCCATATAGGGTAGCCACGGGTTCGATAATGCTTGGAGTCTAGGTTTTACAAATATCTCAGCGTCGCAGTGGTTGTATTTCACATCATACCCTACCATTAAAAATAGTAATAGGCAGAAAATAGAAAGCTAACAATGTTGTAAAGAATATTTCGAAGAATAGAACTGTTTTCCCCAAAGAAAATGTAGCTGAAATTCATTCACTACTTCAACTTGTTAATTTTCGTAAAAATGAAAGAGCTAATGCTTTCTGTTGGCCATTTGTTCGTGGAAAAATTAGGTGCCTCTCACCTCATCCTCCCCAACCGTGATGATAACAAGGTGGGACATTGGGACTTGGGATTCATTTTGAAGCCAGACTGTAACCTCTTTCTTATCATAGTCCCATCAACGGTAATCGCATTATCTTTTTGGAAAATCACCGTTGATTTGTCGTTAGTGACATATCGTCACTTCTATCTAGTCATTTCTAACTCGTCACGGTTCAGCCATTCTCGCCCTGTCGATTTTTCCAGGAAATGGTCTCCGATCCGGGCACCAGCCTCAGTGGATGTCGTGTGGCACTGCTGTCTTGTGGTCAGTTTGATCCGCCATCATACGCCCATTTAAGGATGTTTGGTACGTCAAGCAATTCTGCATCTGAAGTTAAAAATCCCTCTTGTTGACAGTACTCGCCAATTGTTGAGGAAGAAATTAACCAAAATTGTTGTTGCATTTGGTGAATATCCCTTAATTATGCATTAAGATTTCTTCAAAATATACATGTAAAGTGAAGCCTTATGCGGTCGAAAATTCGTTTTCTTTTCAGAACGCGCTCGGGACTTCCTCGTGGGTACGATGGGCTGCAAAGTGGTTGAGGTGTGTGGTTGTTATTATTATCATCTCACGTCATCTTCTGTTTTTGCCCTCATTGACGGTATCCTTTTGATAAACTGGAAAAAGCAATAGTATTGAATCTCTTTGCGGGAATGCAAGGTCGATTTTGATATTTTAGAGCACATTTTGGTATCATGGCCCACCAGGTCTTCCGTCCCTCCAGGGTCGGCGAATTAGTACCAGACTTGTCTGGAAGGATAGCAGCACTGGCTCGATACACCGGTAGACCAACGCGAGTCATTGTAAAGGCCAGGCCATTCAATCACCTCCAAACGATGCTTAATGATGTGGAATGCATGGCGCGTCCCTCAGGGATTGATCAACGCCGAGAGCTTTTTTTCAGAGAACACATTTTATACACTACTTCCCCATTATCAAACCGTTAGATCACTATTCGCGCGTAAACTTCTGCGGAAATTTGTCATTCGTTCGTGAGAATCGTGGAATCATTGAAAATAATCATGTTACAAAGCTGTTTAAGTTTTTCTAATTGCCTATTTGCTTACATGACCATTCTTCACATATAGCGCGCCCTCTACAAGTCCACTCATTTATTTCATTGTCTCGCAACGGTCATTCATGAGTGAGAGAAGCCACACTTGTGTGTCTTTTGGTTGCGGGTTGAGAAACACAAAGCTGATTCGAGCTGTCAGTGTAGTAGTTTGTGCCTGAAACGAACAAACGTTGGTTCATCTCTTTAGAGGCCTCCTTTCAAATCGTTTTTGTTCTCTCCGGATTCACTCTAAACGTGTTTCATTGGTAAGCTTACACGAGATTGATAAATAATTTTAATTCGGCTAACATTAAGACGATTTCTTCGTCGCAGCCGATGATCCGAGCCGATGGTTCACAGTTTCTCGCCTTCTCGATGTGGCGTCTTCGTCTTCGTATCCAGTCGAAACGTCTTCAGTGGAGCATTTCTCGAATCGACTATTCTTACTCGGCGACACTCTTTTACACAGGATACTGGTTGTCGGTAATAGTGATTGTTCGGTGATAAGAACTTGTTCCTCTTGTGCAATCCATCATACGAAAGTTGGTATCCTTATCAGCAAACATAGAGCAAAAAAGAATTCACTCCATAGTTTCTCTGGTCCTTCTGTCGCCTTCTGTTGTGAATATCTCATTCACTTCTATTTTTATAACGTACTGTAGTGGAGCCGTGTAGCTGCTGCTATCTTGGAAAGATCCAAACTACGAAAGCCGGCTTAGTGTTGAATACAACAGTTCATCTTCAAAAGATGTCGCTCGAATGCTCCCTGTAGTACGCGAATTCTCGATGTGTTCGAAGTGTCATCCTACAATTCTGTTAATGAAAGTTACATCGGTTTAGCTCAACATTCTGGAGAAAATCATTCTGAACTGGCATTCAACACGATTAGTTAATTTGTTATGGGAAGTTGATTCAATCGGGCAAATAATCCTTTCAATTAGATTCGGTTAAATTTTTCTGGTACAATACTAATAACATCCAGTGGCTCTACTATTTTCAGTTCATCAAATGAAAGTTGATCATGTGTGAACATTAGTAATGATACGCTCGTCAAACGTATCTATAAAGAATTAAAAGCATAATGAAAGGACAAAGGAAGGCCGAATGGAACAAAAAAGAACCGGTATTAAAAGAATGTAAGCACCTCCACTGAAGCCTTAGTCCCTGCAGCAGCCACATACCTTCTTTTCCCAGTGCAAAAGAATCTGACACAGAAGTTTGCGATGATCAAGCTGAGGGTTTCTTGTTGCATCATCTTCGTTAAGGGAATAATGAATGTGGGCCAGGACACGGCGAGAACGCACACACCTGCTAAACACCGTTTGCGTATGGTCGAGATGGCAGTCAGGAAGAATTTCTGGATAAGGTACGGTCATTCAATGTTGCAAGGTGCTTTGATTAATAAATATAGATGTAACTAGAAGTAAGACGTTTCACGCGAAATTTTGCCTATGAGTACCTTCATGTGAACTGCATTGGCTGCTTAAGGTTTCCGTGAATTTTATAATACTTTTACAACGGTTAGATATGTTAACTACCAGTTCACATCAAAAAGAATTATGAAAGATGGATACAGTTGTGAAATTTCGGGATAATTTTTTTTACTACGCATGCTTAATTTTCGTTTATTATGAGCTCTGATAGTAGGTTTTCAATGAGGTTTACGCCTTGCTATCAGAAACAGTTAGAATTCTTGTTATAAACAAGGTGAAGCGGATGCGGATCTCTTCTATATTAGTTCAGACACAGTGGCTTAACTGCAACAACCACAACGATGCTGAGATATTAGCAAAACTTGGATCCTGGGCCAGATCGAGCAACGATTTCCCTTTCCGGGTCGTCGCGCATTACCCACTGCTTCATAGAAGCCCTTGCTCTGCGTTTCTCTCAGGTTTTCTACCTAACGCTGCCACCCGTCGGAGGGATTGATCTAGGGGCAAGCGAGCACCTGAGAAGCGAAATCGTGGTTCGATTTGACTCGGGGTCCAAGTTTTGCAAATATCTCAGCATCGTTGTGGCTGTAATTCGCATCATACCCTACCGTAAAGAATTATAGTATGCAGAAAATAAAAGGTTAACATTGTAATTGTAGCAGTTTACGAACTGTTCCATAATGCAAATGTTTTTTGTAATAGTATTTATAATATGACAAACTCTACTGGTAAATAATCTTATTTGTTCAGGGCTGGCGGCTTCGAGTGCAAGCAGCGAAGTCCGATCAGACAGTTAGCAGTTCTCAAACACTACCAGGAGGTTAAAGAGCCCTTTCCAAAGTCCCTTTTGAACTTTTTATTTATGGTGTTGTTTTTCTCATCTAGGAAAGAATTAGTGGATATTTGGTAGTAATACTGCAGTAAAATGTTGTAAATGTTTTTGAACATAAGCCCTTTCATTGAACGAGGAAAATTCACTTAGATTTATACAGAAGTTGTCGCATAAGCACGACGAAACGATTCGGGTGATGTACGTCTGCGGAAGTGAAGTACTAGAAGATCTTGTTGCTCCACACCCAGAGAACCCGTGCTCGTGGAATCATTCTGAGGTGCTTTCGTTTTCTCTTCCCCTATTAAGTCGTCATTAAATATAATTGCCTCGTTCGTTTAGAAATGTTTACTTCGTCTAGAAACTTTAAATAGAGTCTTCTCAATACAGAATGTAGAAGGATAATTAAAAATAAAGGATAAAGCTCTCGGTGTTGTTCATTCCCTGACGGACGCGCCATGCATTCCACTTCATTAAGCATCGTTTGGAGGTGATTGAATGGCCTGGCCTTTACAATGACTCGCGTTGGCCTACCGATGTATCGAGCCAGTGCTGCTACCCTCCCAGACAAATCTGGTACCAACTTACCGACCCCGGAGGAATGGAAAGCTTGATAGGCCATGGGCGCGGGAATCGATCCCACGTGTATTGCAGGGCGCCTCCGACGACTGCACTACACGCGCCCAGAGTGTAGAAAACCATTCGTAGACATAGACACATAGACACACATAGACAAGACAATTCTTGTTCTCCCAAGCACATTATCTATAGCCTCAGTGATTCTTGATTCTGAATTGGGACATGTTGTCAGGGCCAGTGTAAAGGCCGAATGTATAGAATATACAAACAAAAACCAAAAAGCAGACAAAGCAAAAAATATGTCACCGATTTTCCGTCACCTTGTTATGTTGACATATATCTTCTTAAAACCACAAAATGTTTACAATATACATAATATACTATTGCGAGCTATCTGAGGCTACTTTTCAAAAGCACAAAGAAATTGATACTGTGCGAAAATCATAAGACTCAGCGTTTCCATTGGGCAAGCAGTGCTGTAGCTAATGCACCGCTATATTGTAGCGGTTCCGCAGTAGATTTAGTACTCCAGAGAATAACTAGCTAGAATAGCGCAGTGACTAGTTAGCTGAGTTTTCGTCGCTGTGTATTTGTTCGACTCTCGAAAGTTGGTCTGTCATGGTGTCTACTAGATCTGTAACATATATGCGTTAACCTCTAATGCTTCAGGAGCTGTAAGTGAGAGTCAAAAAATACAAGCTTCATTGTTAAGACGCTGCCGTAGGACTGTAGCCTATTATAGCCAAATGAGCCCACTATGGCGAGTTATGAATTGAGGTGCTGGAGATTGATATCTTTTCCAACAAACGCTACACGATCATAGGGCTTCATCTTTCAGTGTATTCTTGATGATCGAACACGAGGGAAACGAAACAGCTGGCGTTTTGGCGGATTTTGCCTTTTTTTAATTCATGTTTCTTCAATCTTGCGCAAAATCTCGCCGGTTGTGGTTTCCTCTGGTTTCAATTAATTTCTTTGGGATGAATTTGTTTTTCCTGAGTTTTCCGTGCAGATGAATTTTGTAAAACCATTATTTCACTTGTGCGTAGTTCCGTCCAGAAGCTTTCGATACCTGTTGTCCCACCTTCTCCTTTCTTTGGTGGTCCTTGCTGAAAACTACGCAGAACGGTTCCTCAACAGCAGCGTAAACTACCCTGACAAGTACGACGTATCATTCCAGAAACTCGCCAGAGTCTAAGACGAGATTCGCTGCAATCACTGTTCCTTCTTTGAACTTGTTTTTCGATTTGTAAATATTTCAATACTGATTTACTGAGCCCTTCTGATAAAAAAGTTTTACCTTCTCTTTTTCATCACCTAGGAATTTATCAATTAGCTTTTTCAAGATATAATGTTACATAGAAATATGGCTTAAAAAGCGATTGAACATAAATATTTGGTTTCCCACAGATTTCCTTTGGTTTTGAAGAATAGCACTTCATCTGTCCTATCATACGTAGCATTTCCAATATCCCTGAGATTTCACTGAAATGTCCCAAAATGGTCCCGAATTTGGAATAACTCTGCTTGGCAACTTACCGTACCGAATTCTTAAGAGCTCGCATCGAACGGTTTTAAACAGCATTTATTCTGACGGTGAGGCCTTTAGTTTCTAGCCATTCATCATTTGCATGTTTCATTTTTTAATGTCCTCCACCTCTCTAGAGTGTTTTTAAACTGCAGATCAAAGAACTTCTACAAAAACATGGACTAATAGTACTGAAACGTGGTCGCACACGTCCTTCCCAAACAATCTACCTGACCGACGTCCTCAGACAATATCAGGTCAGTCAATCTTGTCCTAGCCAACAGTGGACTCCAACCGGATGTCCATTGAAAAGAAGAAAAGCTGCTTTTTGATTTGAACGGTTCTAGAAAAACATCTACGTGATAGAAGATGAAACATTCCCCAATGATCTCCGATGCTTTCGAATCAGGTGGAGTTATTCTTATTTTGTTTATATCTAAAAACAAAAATAATTCCACACAGTGATCACAAAGGTAATAACCCATAACTTTAAAGATAACTAACACATTTACGATGAAATATTTTAACTTCAACATACTGAATAAGTGTAAGGCATGCATTCACTTTTCGAAGTTGTGTATGTTCCCTAAAATTTTCACATTCAGTCGACCATTTATTCAACACGTCACTAAGCAACACGAAGTTAGTAGACTGCAACTTTGCCACCTACTGTGACTGCTTACTTAGTTATTTATTATTTATTTTATTTTACATAATCCGTTAACACACCTAATATGCGGATCCCAGCACTGCTTGCATTCCATTTCTTTTTCATACTACTCATCGTCCACAATCGTCTTCGAACATTTGGCGTGTTGTTTCGCCTGGTGCTTGAGGATTTCGTCTTCTTTGTGAGTGTGGCAGAAAGTCGTAGAAGGCTGGTCGAGTCGATTCTCCTTGCAATCTTGGAGATAGCCAGGCTAAGGCGCTCCCATGTGGATTGGAATACAAGGCTAAATAGAGGATCGATCCATCACCTTGCTTCCTGACGGACTGCATCACTAACTAACCATAACCTACCGGAACCTAATTAACCCAGGATGCATTGTCGCCAAAAAATAGGTTATGTTGGACGGCGGCAATAGATCAACATGCGGCCTGTACGAAAGGTGTCACCGAGAGAGAATACTTCGTACAGCAGTACGCCACTTCACTGGATTCTACTCGATGCGACAACGAACACCCACATCGCCAGGTCGATCACCTGTGGCATTATCGCATCGGATCAATCTGGTCCTGAAGAAAACTAAGACGTTGAAACGTTAACTGAATAAAAATTCTACACCACTCTAGTATTAGTCTAGAAGCTTTAGGAAATATTGTCCTAAGAATTTGAAGAACAAAAAAACGGAGTATCAATCAGTACTTGTAGAGAAGGTGCACGTTTACGCTAGTCCAAAATCTTGAGTAACTAAACCTTTATATAAACAAAATGAATATAACATTAACGAAAAAGTGGTATTAACAAATGTACATATAAACGGTGTAAACAATAGTGCGACCAATCTGCGATGGTGACAAAGAGCACAAGAGAACCTAACAAGAGAAAAGTATCCTCTATAATCACATGATTATGTAGTAAGAGGCAAAGGAGGGATATCATACATCGTTAGCTAGGAAGAACTATGATCGAATGGAATCGCACTAGCGCACCGGTACGAATGGATTGGCAAATCCATAGCGTTCTTCTCACATCCTCTCAACGGATGGTGCTACTGCAAAACAAGCTTGGAGTTATCGCTTCTCAAATGGTGGTCCATAGTGGGCAGACGTTGTACTTTTGAAAATGTATATTGCAAAATTCTTGCTAGCCATAACAGGTTTGCGCAGTCCAGGTGCCACAAAGGGAATTACTTCATAATACATAAGAAGACAGGATTATATGCCTTGGAAAGAAAAAGAAAGACATACTTAACAGAAGAAACGTATGCGCGTATAAAAGATGGGGAATATTCATGGAGATTCTCACAGTTACTCGTGCCAAAGTCAATTAATCAACATTTTATTCTGCATGGTTTTCACGGTGAATAACAGCTAGAGAACTCATCTATGTTTAGAATTTTACTAAGCTCACGTAACTCATACCAGTGTTCGTTGCAGGACCGCGCTACGCCGTGGTGAATCCGTGAAATACTGTCTGGATGATGATGTCATTGAATATATCAACGAGCACAACTTGTATAAAACAACATTGTGAGCTTCTAACCCTATGTTTACTTTGTGGAATCCTTTCTAATCTTTAGCGAAAGCTGTTCCCTTATTTCATCGAGAGAGATTTCTTCTTTTACAGGGAGAACGATTATAACCAATGTAATCCAGGCATACCTTCAGGGCCCGCGACTACCGTACTATGTGACAATTCTGGTACTATGCGGTAAAATATGATTCAATTCTAGAAAATTGAAATAAGTCTTACTTTGTTCCTTCTTGTTCTTATTAGTACTTAAATAAGTATTAGTTCTTCAAATACGGATGCTTCAGCTCATAATCAAATTTTTAACACCGGTCTGCATATGACGTTTGTAAATTTCCATTCACGAAGTGCGAAAATAACGGCCGCTTCCAACTTTAAACCAACATACTTCATCTCAAAATAAACTTTACTTAATTCGACACTTTGATGGCCCGTCTTCACGAGTTGTGCGAAACCCAGCACATTTTCTATCCGTTTCTTTGCATCTCTATGGTCTAGATGGGGGTGGTTTGATTCAAGCACGGCACCGGGTACGAATCTCATACCGTGATCTGTAAAACAACTGCAGCTGTGAGTACAGCTGAGTGATTTTGGTTGCGAACACCCCGCCCAGCGTATAGGTGGTTGCCCTAGGGCGTTTGCATCCTTGTGGAGTACACTCTACAGTTCTTTTCATCCATCTGTCGTTTAATAACTCGAAAGACCGACTTTCTATGAACCTCGGCATAGGTAGTTAATATATTTATTAATGTGATCTTATAAACTGATCTTCTTAAGCTGACGCGAGGTTGGTACAGATCTTCGTTGTCGTTGTTTTTGATGTTATTGATCGATGGCTGACGTTTCGGCGACTTCGTCTTCCTCAGAGCCGTGATGTTACATGTGATGCGGCCCACTCAAAAAAGCCATCGTCCCGCACGTAACATCACGGCTCTGAGGAAGACGAAGTCGCCGAAACGTCAGCCATCGATCAATAACATCAAAAACAACGACAACGAAGATCTGTACCAACCTCACGTCAGCTTAAGAAGATCAGTTTATAAGATCACATAAATAAACATCTGTCGTTTGTTCTTATTGTACTACCGGCCTGTCTATGTTTCGCTATCGGTGTGTGTTCGCTTGGGTTTCAAAGATGAGATAGAATATTGTTATGAAAGGATGTATGTTCAGGACAAATCCATGGTGCGAAGGCCAACAAGTCAATCTGATTGCAGCGACCACCTCGTACGTATGTATACTTTGGTCGTTCAATGAATATAGGAAAACAACATGAATGAGGAATTAAATAGAAGAAGGAGAGCATGCGGCAAATTCGGCCCACTCAAAAAAGCCATCGTCCAGCTAGAGGAACCAAAACTCCGCGCCCACCTCTTCGATTCAACACTCATCCCAGCGCTGTTATACAGCTGAGACGTAGACTCACACGCCAACCACGCCAAGGATACCTAGAACTCATAGTGCACTTGAAAGATGTCCTTTGAAACATAACCGGCACACACCATACTTGACCGGAATGCAAAGCTCTGATCTCCGAAATCTATCTTCCAACAAGCTTCGTTAAATGCTATAGAAACTCTTGTTTTACCTTTGGGAAATTCTGATCCTTTGGTGTCCAGCAAACACATCCTGTGCATTTTCTTTTCGTTGAGGATCGTATTCTGAAAGTGCAAGCAACCGAGGAAGCTGTATTTTGTTCATTAGATCAGCGAATTGTCAGGAAGTGCGTTGTTCATGTTTATTGCTGGGATTTCGTTTGGAATTACAGAAATATAAATTTCGACCCCATTTCTTTCGAAAACTTCATTCCCAAACAACTTTAGAAATCAAACAACACTAAATCCCAAGACCGACTTTCTCTTAACGTCGGCATTGATAAATAATTCCCTATTTTCTTTATAAGCACACACGAGGTTGTTGTATATTATTCGTTCGCAATAGCCAGCGTTTCAGCGGATTTCGCCTTCTTCAAAGCAAGCCTGATTAGCTCCGTCAAGATCAAGTTAACCTCAACCTATTCAGCCAAACACCCATAAACCGAAGAGAAAAACCACTATGCCTAATTTTCAATCGCATTGAAAATAAAACAGTTCCTTCGCAAACCCACCCTTTTTTGTGATTTCAGTCTACAACAAACCTCTGTTTGGTTATGAAGGTGGTTTGGCTAGGGAGCTTCCAGCCAACTTGACCTTTCTAGGTTCTAAAGAAGGCGAAATCCGCCGAAACGTCAGCATCGTAGTAATAAAGAGTAAAATAACATCTCGTGTTTGCTTAACGAAAATATAAGGAATTATTTGATCAATGCCGAGGTAGAAAGTCGATCATGTGAATATTGGACGTTCTACTTACATACAATGAGATGAAGAAACAAACCTTCCGTTCTCACTGTAGAACACGGATTTCTAAACGACGATTTCGTGCTTCTCATTTAACTAGCTAGTCTTTTTCAACATCTTATTTCGGTCCATGTTTTCCAACATTTTCATGCTACTTGGGCATTGTACTTCCCGAAAACTATCGAGCCATTTCGTACGTGTTTACGTGTGGCTTTATATGGCTTCTCCAAATACTCATTGTCGAGTGCAGTGGGATGTCATTGAGTGCCTGCACCATCAAGGCCCTTCGTCTATATCAGCAGATTCTTGATAACCAGTTTGAACAATCCGAATATGAGTACTGACGGTTCCATTGCCAAATGTAGAGCTCGTGTTCCGCAGATGCTGTAGCTCCATCGTCCTATTGCAACATTATTGCCAATGTAACGTAACATTGCCATTATTATCATTATCCTTACTAATGTCATCGTTTCTCATTCCTATAGATAATTATTGATAAATCTTTGTTAATTTGAATCTTACATTTTTATCATTCAAGGATAAACGGTGATGAACAAGAAATGCCTTCAGAGGCACCTCAAAGCACCTGCACCGAAATCGTCAGCAGCGCACTCATAGGAAATGTAAGAGCCTCAAATTGTCCCTTTTATCACTCGTTAGTGCATTCCACCTCTTAAATATCCGTTAGATAAATCACGTGATAAAAGTAGAAGCAGAAACTTGTATATGGCAATGCATTTTAATGCATGAATACAACTTTTGAAGAACATTAAAATTCTCAGAATTTCCAACTTAAAATCCACAATGCTAGAGGATGCTAGAAGCTAGACTAGTGCTTTGCAAATCCCAGCACTTCTCACATTCGATTCGTTTCCTCGCATTCATTGTCCACGAAGATCTTCCAAATTTACGTGTGGCTTCGATTACTGCTTGAGGATTTCCCTTTCATCTTGAATGTCTCAGAATGCTGGTCGAGCAATTCTCCCTGGAGTCCGGAGATAACAGGGATGGAGCGTTCCCAACTGGACTGCAAAGAGTGATTTTTTTTCCCAGACCAATCCGCTGCCAATTCCCCGACCCCAGAGGGATGAGAGACTTGGTTGGCGCAGGGCGGAATCGAACTAGTAGTACCATGCTCGTGATGACGGACACCACTACCACTGCGCTACCCGCCACCCAATATGGATGGATTAATCTAATTTGTAAAGCATATTCATTAGTGACGAAAGAAATATTCATAAATGGAAGCATCCGTTGTCAAATTACAGAAAACGCGTATTCTGCTTTTTCAACATATCAGAACATAAAATTATCTATACTGTAAAAGTGTTATAAGATGTGATCCAACTCGGGCGTTTTTTAACACATGAATAAAATTACTTACCTTGTCGCCTTTTGGGAGCAATTGTTAGAGGTGCTACCCTATCAATACATTGCATTGATCCGACGCGCTGGGTCAACCAAGCCCGCTATCGCTTTGAAACTACCAACATGCTATCAGACAACTCTATAGGGATAAAAACATTTATTTCATAACTACAATGATGCTGAGATATTTGCAAGATTTGGAGCTTAGGACAGATTCGAACCCGCAACTACCCTTTCCGGGGGTCACTTGTTACCCACTGCATCACCGAGGTCCTTACTTTGCTTTTCTCTGATCTAGCTTTCTACTTAACGGTCGGTGCCATGATCCTCAACGGGAATGATCTGGGGGGGGGGGGGGGGGGGGGGGGGGGGGGAGGGCACAAATTGGCATTAAACCCGATTATTAGTCAAAATCACGATGTTTAGTTTTTATTTGCTGCTTATTATTTTTTCGGTACAGGGTACAATATGAAATACAATTGATTTCATAGATCGGTAGACCTCTGAAAGTCAAGGTATACGCCAGATATGCATGCAACCGTCTTTACTGTGCCACAAATGTTGTCGAATGCATAGCACATCCGTAAGCGACTGGTCAACCACGAAAGCTTTATCTCCTATTCTTTTAGACATTTCTCCAGTATTAATGATATTAATTGGGACGCGTGTGGCGCAGTGGTCGGGGACTCCCTGCAAAACACGCCTGGAATCGATCCCTGCGCCCAAGGCTCAGCAAACCTTCCATCCTTCCAGAGTTAGCAAATTCGTACCAGGCTTGTTTAAGAGGATAGCGGCACTTGCTCGATACATCGGTGTGCCACTGCGAGTCATTGTAAAGGCCAGATATGCATTCATTCACCTCCAAATTATGCCTAATGAAGGTGAATTCATGGCGCAAGGGATTGACCAAAACTGAGAGCTTTATCCTTTTATTAATGAACATCGCCACTTTTTAATTTACTGCCTTTTTTTAATGGCAGGCTATTATGTGAAATATAATCACAATTATTCTGAGATATTCGCAAAACTTCGGACTGCAGACACCACAGTCCGGAATTTTTTGCAAATATCTCAGCATCATTATGGTTATATTAATGAATAGTTCAAGTTTACTTATGTAATTTCATTAATCTAGAGGATTCTATCATCGAAATGGCACACGAAAGCCTCGGCAGACTCATCCTGCGAAAGCTGCAGTAGCAGTCTTGAAGCGTCTGAACCACAGTTCCTCTCGCGAAATATACCACCCTCTCGATTTCCGACATCATCTGATCGACATGCGGTGATATGTTCGGATAAGAAAGCTGAACACATCCCATCCCCTTCTAAGGAAGAAACGAACAAACTGGAATGTGATGCAATAGTACCGACGAGTACTGCAGAGCACAGCACGAGTCAAATGACTGTGACGTCTTGTGCCAAGGAAAAGATCTCAGCCACCATTACGCTATCTTCGAAGAACACCAAGCGCAGCGGTGAGTTCCTCAAGGAGAACTGCGTCGACCAAATACCTGAGAAACTGTCGTCGTCGATGTTTACGAGGCCGATTCTTAGTCAGGCAAGTATCCTTAATATATCAATGAACTACCAGCCCCAGTATGCCCGTTTACCATAAACGTGAAGCATTAACATTTTCTGTGAAAGGGCATTGAGTTAAGGCCTGCTATGAACCTTTCAGTCAGAGCCAGCGACAAACTCACCATTATTTGACAACAAGTCATCCGACTGTGATAAGGTGCCAAATTGTATGGTCTCATCCGTCACTCTGGACGTCGAAAAAAAGCTGAGAGGCCTAGCAGATAGTCCTTCATACGATAATGTGACTTTGGACGACCTACTAATAGCCACCACCTCGTGGGCTGACTATCTCCAAGGAGAAAGCGAGCGAATTGAAGGTAAACACCAGGTTTTCTTTTCAATAATTCTGAAGTTTTTTGCTTGATGTTTATCATAACATTCAAGGGTATTTAGAACTAATTAGAATTGACCAAATGCTTGAAAATATAGACATATGAATGTTGAAGAAAATTAGGGTATCACAGCACTTTTATTTAGCCGTTTTAGGTTTCTGTCACTTTTAAACAGCTGTATCCAGCTGTAGAAACTGACTTCCGTTTAGGTTTAAATAACAGAAAAGTGACAGAAACTCAAGCAAACAACGAAAGCTACAAAGAACCAGCAGTACCGAGCGATCCACCATCATGCAATACTTCGTGCACAGGAGAGAAGGACAAGAAGCGCAGCTGGTTTTTCAACAGCAAGAAGAGCTTAAAAGTAAGCGTAACACTGCATGGCAAGTTTTATTCGAACCATGCTACAAAGTTCGTAGTCATTTCAATCATTCATATGAGATACAGAGAAGAAATACCTATCGTGGTTTTATAGCATGGTAATATCATGCTATGGGCAGGGTTAGCGTAGCGGTCAGTGATGCCGTCGTTCAAGAAGCAAAGGCGCTAGCTCGATGTAAATAAATAATTAAATATCGGCCTGTAAGACTATTTGTGGCACTCAAGAAAATTTTGTAAAGAAAGTATGTAATCCCGTCCATAATTCACGAACTCGAGCGAACATCACCAAACCTTACGCGTCTCCGTTGCGCACCACAGCTACTCAGTGGATTTCACCCTCCCAATGAACACGAAGAGCATAACACTTCTAGTACTTTTAACATTCCTACTATTTTTCACGAGAATGTAATCATGGATAGCACGCCGGGCTGCAACATGGCACGGATAAGTATTGATAAGAGCATCCCGCTGTACATTGCTACTCGACACCCAAGAACACCGGTCAGCTGTAACGACGGACGTCAAATCCACATAAATTACTAACGGATCATTATTCCAAATTTCGTCGAGTTATCTCATTGGTGAAAAATCGTACATGTCCGATCCCGATGAGAGTAGGTCTACGCGACTGCAGAATTGGTAAGTATCCATCCACATAATGGCCCAGCATTTCACACACCGGCTTTTGGAACGTAAAGTACCTGGAAAAGTCAGACGAATTCTTGTCGTTGTCTCAAAATTGACCTACATGGTAGGAATAGGTATTTCTCCATCTGCCTGTGGTTGGTCCTCCAAAAGCTCTTTAATCAAATCATTCCAAGGGATGATTAAATATTAAACAAAAGACAGTCATGCGAGTAAGTGCAGGTGTAGTACAAAAGCAGTCATGGAAGTTCTGCACAACCAGGGCACCTCCCTCAGTACAGAACAATTCTTTGTAGGCTATATGTCATCTTTACAACCATGTTCACAATTTTGCAACATATTGACGTGAGCAGAGCTATATGAAAGTGTAACATCACACGGCTGGAATGTTTTAGCGTCACTTTTGAGAACTTTGAACGACACTTGAACGGGAAATGGGACGTACTATTTTTGTGCTTTGAAGACATACAACGTTATCATATAAGACGAATATTGATATTAATCTCAACTGTGTCTGTTAGCCGTTGACCACAGCCCTCCAAAGAATCTTAGGAGTTCTGGTCACTTTTAGATCGCTATCGTTGTTTCCAGTAGACTGGATGCACAGCACAGCAGGTTTCAGTTCAAAAACTGTGAAACCAATATAAAAATTTCACCAGTGATTTTGTGGAAACCATAAACAAAATAAATCTAGGAGCCCAAACCTCCAGAAGAAGACCAACATCCAATGCAGATGTGCGCGACCGATCGACGACAACAAAAACAGACGCTTTCAGAGATCCTTTGGCGGATGAATAGCCAATCGAAAGGCAAAGAACGGTAATAAATCCATGGACTAGCCGTTGATTTTCAGTCGTTATGTATTTATTATTGCTCTTGTTAACGCGTAGCGTATTGGTTAGAGGTACTTTGTACACAGGTGGTCGCCGGTTTCATCGCACACCCACAATATCGACCCATTCCTCGCTCCGGGATCGGCATATTTGCGCCAGACTTACATGGGTGGTTGAAAACACTGTGGCTATCAGTAGGTCTCTGAAAAACACTGTATAGATGAAGTATACACCCAATCACTTCCTCCACGATGCTACGAATGAAGTCGAATACGTAGCAAACCGCTGAGAGGTTAATCAAGGCTGAATGATTTATCTCCTATTTATCCTTCATTGTTCATACCCTCTCTATCACCTGTCCTTCATTTGACAACTAAGTGATTCGAGCGGGAGCCATTAACACATTGCCGACGCGCGTTGTTCAGTGGCCCTGCCGTTAGACACGACGCCCAATTTTTAGCCATTATGGACTGAACTAGACAGGTTGTGAACATGAAAGAATTGTAAAAGAGGTTTTGTTATGTCACTCTATTGATATGAATAATATGTTTACTACTATTTACTATATAAAAATGTGGTCCACCAAACAAACACATTTCTGTCAGCATTTAGAAATGTTTTGCAACCTATGATAAGTCCCTGTCGATGTTTTATTCCCACATTCCATCGGATAACTAAGATTCATTATTGCTATTAAAGTTGACATATGAATTAACTTCTAGTCAAATTACCTGCCAGTGAACTCGTTCTAGAAAAGGTTTAGCATATTTCTTTGTGCAGAATAGAGCTTTTCCCAGTCAGCCCTCGAGTATGTGTTGGTGAAACTACTGACTAGATATTAGAAGTGTAGAAAGAAGGTTTTCTGCCCTAAACTAGACAATCAGAAAGAGAATGAACTCCATGGAAGTAATATTGGCTGCTCGATGGGCAGCGAATGGACGTATAAGTAAGTCCATAACACCCACTACGTTTCAAGGCTCCCTTTCGAGTACCAGAGTTTAGGCTCTTGCTTGTTCCAAAGATATGACCGTAGTCTAGCTTTTCATGTTATAGTGAAGTTTTAACAACTTATCGATAGTAACACTTTTGTACACTTCGGTTCTTTTTTTAGAGGTTCATAGGATGCAAAAGATATCGCAAGACATTCCTGCGAAGAGAAAAAGGCAATCCGAAAATGACCACAATGATGCTGAAATATTTGCAAAACTCCGAATCGTTGGTATCTGCAGTGGGGACCGAACACACTAATGCCGTTTTCGGGTGCTAACGCGTTCACCACCACACCATGCGGGTCCCTTGTTTTGCCTTCCTCTCAACCGTTTGCGGTAAATAAAAGTTGACGACATTGAAATCCGAAAATAGTACGAGTCGTTTGCTATCGATAGTGTTGACATACAACACATTCAAACGAAAAAAAATTCCAAAGAAACAGGCCAACTTCACAATACGCTCCACAGTGAATGAACAACCCGCCCGGGAAGCTGGACCTTATTGGGTTGATAGGAGAATAAAACTATAAGCACAGAAGCCATTGCACTGCGCCGTACCAGTCAGTTAGAGAAATATGTTCCTGTGAACATGGGAAACTACGCGGAAAGCTCTGAAATAGGAACAGCAGATGAAAGATTAAAGTCAACCCAGGAGTAAAAAAAGCGATCTCGAAGAAATACATGTGTATTTTCTCTACCACTGATCCCACATTCTATTGGAATCCTCATAGAAGTCGAGTAAGTAGATAATCTTCTAATCTAAACGAAAATCAAATAGAATCGGATTCATTTCCTAAATAAATTTTTTTGTGACTTGTGGAATTCATGAATTCATCGATTTCATGTGGGAAAAGGAACTACGCTGTTTGAAGCGCTTTACATTTTTCTTTTTCTTGACGAATTCTTGACGATAACAAATAAGGCGAAAATGTTTCCATGCTTGTGGTAACGAGAATAATATAAGAGAAAATCTCGAAAAGATCTTCCTAGTCAAAACAGTGCTATAAAGCAAGTGAGTTAAAATTAGATTATACCTAAAGACCAAATATGGCTAGTATCACCTGAATCCACTTATCACAATGCATGAAAGGCACTGACTTAGAGCTCTAGTCTTACTTGTACACCTGGACAACCATTTCAACCAATATGAGTCGCATTTGGTTCATACGACACGTGAAGAAGAGGTGACCGCGGCGCTGACTGGTTTTTTATTAATGGAGAATGCTTGCAGTAGTGAGTGTGTTAAACGTTATGAGCTTATATGCAATTGTAAAATAAAATACCTAACGCTGCAATAACTGTATTACCGTAGTTCCAGATGGTCCGAGATACTTCCGCCATCATGTTCACCGCCACACTGTTTGCGGCACTCTGAACAATATACCGCGATGTTACGTAACGAGCCAAACAGTAGCACATCCCGACTGACGAATCTGCCAGAAGACGAGCAACAAACCGAAACACCAGATCCTACACTACCAAACAACGTTGGAACGGCACGGTCGCACTCTGAGGCTACTACCACCGTCGATGACGGAGTCACACTACGTTACCGATGCTACAATCTCACTTCAACGCCTGAAACCACCGTGTAATCTCAGCGGGTCAGTGATCTTCATGAAACTCAATAAAGCTCAATAAATTCATATCACTGTAAAACTCGATGTGTATATGAGTTATGAAGAAGGATGTGATAGACACACAAAAAAGAAAACTATTCAAGCACGAGAAAGTTGATGTAAACGTCTTTCATCACTATTTATTCCAAATATTTTAATTCTTACGATTCCACTTAATTCGCATGCAAACACGTATACATTAAAAGTTTCTGCAAAGCTTATTCTGGTAAATACTATCGACGAAAAATGAGGGAATCATTAATTTTCGGTCGATCGATCGATTGATCGAATATCGACTTTTAGCTACTTATATTTCAATACTTGACAATTACAACATTACAAAAGTTACTACTGCAACATACAATTCAACAGCTATAGTACTCTCTAACATAGTGTATGACGTACAATATAAAACCAAATTGATCATGTGATAGACAATTTACTCATGAGTATTAAAATTGAGGTTAAGGCAAATTTCTCACCACCTCGATCAGATCGAGATGTTTAACACGCAGTGCTGGGATAAAAGGCTAACAATGATGAAGAGGGCATCTCTTAACTTGTGTTCAAGGAACAATTTAAAACGCTTAAAATGCACTTAGGTTTGATAGCAAAAATAATTGCACATCATTTGATACATATATTATGAAATACAAAGCATTTCGTATTCAATAGTGACACTTCTGAGAAAGGCGAAACACGGTTCCCGACGTGCACTCAACTATGGCGCCGTCATGTGTCATTACTGTTCAGGAAAATGTTTTGCGTAAACTGTAAAGAAGTTTGTAACGTTTGTTTCACAACACTGAAAAATAAAAACTGCATGAAGAAAATATGAAATTCGAAAAAACTGGAAACTCTTAGATGAGCACTCCTAAGTAGAATGACTGATAGGCCAGATGCACACCTCTGAGTTACTATTGTTCGGTTCTGATTTGGCGCTCTGCACTACTAGCACTATATCGTGTCTTTGGTGTCCCTTCACCCAACTGGGTGGCAAACATTCGCATTTTATCTCGGAATCCCATACCATCTGGTATTTGACACTGCGTTTCTTGACGCTCCTGAAGGAAGATACTGAATTCATCATATAAGTTGAATATGCTTTAAGAATAGGACGCTAATAAAAGATTCGAAAAAATTTCAAGCGTGCTCTGTTTGACAGAGATTGCCTAACTGCGAATGTATGTAAATTAAAAGTACTGGTAGCTCTGCGCGAAGTGTTCTCTTCATTGAGAAAGACCAAAAGAAACGGACTAATTGAAATAATTCATAGCACCATGATGCACATGTAGAAATGACATCGACACGCAGATTTTCTATTACTTGATACTTGAATGGCCCATCCTCATCGGTTGTGCGGACCACAGCATAATCTCCATCACTCGGAGATTTGCTGGTTAAGCCAGTGTGGTTCCCTGGAATCCCGAAGTCAGCCTGGCCAAAGTCTGCCTCAGGTCCTCACCACCACAGGCAGTCGCAGCCCTTGTGGATCAGAGAGAGATTTGCTACCATGTGAATTTTATAGGTGGATCATGATATTGGTTTTCTATTATGGCGCAAAATATCTTCAATCAGATGAAAAATGCGCGTTATGAACTTAACGTTTCTTCTCACAGTCAAAGAAAACGAAATTCCATTTGCTCTTAGATGCAGTGACGAAGGAATCCACTTCATAAATTGCCCAGTTATGTGGTCCCAAGGCTGTATCCTTCTTGTTGTACTGTAAACAACTAATTATTGACGTACTTGTAACTCGTTCAGTCGTTGCTGTCGAGGATCTCGGTAAATTTCGTTCGTACCATAAATCTGTAAAGCCTATAAGTTCTCTTTGTAAAAGAAAACCATATAGGAAAACAAGGAGACATGCACATCACGAACCGAAGGTGAATCCAGCACTTCTGTTTCTTTCAAGGATACCATTTCCCTGCTCTGGAGAAAGTTACGTCCGTAAACGTTTCCCGGTGAGATGTCATCGCTGAAATTTTTTCTGTTTGATGTTAACTGTTGTGTTGAGATCTTGTGTAGGGCAGTGGTTAGAGGTGCACTGGAATACCCAGATAGGCCATTGTTCGAACCTTCGGTCCGGGCACACCAAGCCTACCATCTCTCCAGAGTAGGTAAATTGCTACCATACTTCCCTGCAAGGATAGCAGCACTGATTCGATACACCGATAGGTTACCGAACTTTACTGCATAAGGCAGATATGCATCATGCATTCAACCTCCTGTAACGATACTTGACGAAGTTGAATGCATGGTGACCTCAAGGAATCAAGGAATGACCAACTGTAGAAGCTTTATCGTTCATTTCCTTTATTAATATCAATTGTTACTAGTCAAATCGTGCTGTAGCGTAGTGCACTGGCAATATGACCCTCCATATTATCCTATCCAACTTTCCCGTCACCATAATATTGATATTGCGTGGTGTACGGAATTCATGTGTGAAAAATGTTTTCTAAAAAATATAACGGGATACCAAAAGGGAAAAGGGAAGAGAAGAAATAAGCAAGTCGCACCGCATTGTACTCCTTCCTGAGCTTTCATCCACGTCGTCAATCACTGTCTCCATGCGATTCACCTTGCACGCGTCTGTCGATATCAACTTTGTCGGCGCGACCACTGCAGCCGTTTTTTGTTCACGAGTTCGTGACTGCTCTGATGCCATGTTCAGCAGCTCGCTGAATACGTGGTCCGTATGGAAAACGTCTGTGACTTACGATGTTAACCTTTTACTTTTTGCCTACTACAATTTTTCAGGGTAGGGTATGATGTGAAATAAAACCACAGCGATGCTGAGATATTCGCAAAACTTGGACCCGGGCCAGGCTGAACTACTATTGCCCTTTCGAGCGGCTCGCGTATTACACGGTGCACCGTGGTGGCCCTTGCTTTGCGTTTCTCTTAGCCAGTATTCTACCTAACGCTGCCATTACTAATCACTCCTCAACTGGATTTACATTAACGAAACACTTGACAAATACTGGGCCAATAACTTTATTAATAAAAGTTCTTGAAAACCCATTTCATTTCTTAAGAAGGTAGGTAAAGAAAAGTAATTTCAAATATTGACGGACGTCCAAACAACTCACAACCGCACACAACTCCCTCACAACACTGCACTGCAAGGGATTATCGCTTTTTTGACTTGCCAGCGTGTAAAGCCAAGCGATTGCTCACGACGCGGCATGGAGAAAATGTTAGTGAAATTGTATACAGATGGGAAGTAGAAATTCGACAAAGCGCTCCTCTAAATACACATAGAGCACAGAAGCACAACAGCGATGATTTTGAAGTGACTGCCCCGATCCTGGCGCAGGAATCAAAAACAGCAACGCGCAAGACTCTTGAGGCGCTTTGGATAAATTTCAAAGATCCAAAGATGATCCGAAAGACGAACGCCCCACTCTCCCACGTAACCTGGAGCCTTTCTCAAATCGATTCACGTGAGCAACAGACGGGTGGTCCGCACATAACACCATGGTGAGTAGTTTTTGTAGCAAATTGGCGCTCATTAATATGTTAAATCTTCACTAGTACTATAGGTTTTTCACTAAATTAGAAGGCTGCTGTTACATAAAATACGTCCAGGCTCTGAGGAAGGAGAAATCGCCGAGAGATCATCGAATAACAGCAACAACAACAACAACGACCACTTATGCCAACCTCGCATCAGCTCAACAAGGGTAGTTCGTACGAACACATACAAATATATTATATACACTACAGTACTATCCTTTGAACACAGCTTTTCCAGAAATGTTTTACTACCTCTAAAACCAACTTTCACCTATCATCGGCACACATAATCAATACCTTCTTGTGTTACTGAGCTGACAAGAAGTTAGTATAAAAATATTTATTCAGTTAACATTCCGACGACCTCTTCTTCTTCAATAGATATTTCTACCGACCTCGTGTCAGTTCAGTAACACAAGAAAGTATTATTATTAGAAAGTAGATTATTCGGGCCGAGGTTAAATAAAAGTCGGTTTTTAGTGATGTATTCTACGCTATGTATTAGCTAGCGCAACAGCGATTGATACAGAACACATTGCCTACCAAATGGCAGATCATATTGACTGGTGGGAATCGGGCAACGTCCGTTTCGAATAAAAGGATTCCGCTGAGTGAGATCCTTTTTTCTACCGGTGCTGCACTTCACTAGATTCGACTCGGGGCGATGACGAACACCCACATCACGAGGATGAGCACCTATGAATCATCGACTCGGACCATTGAGGTTCTGAGGAAGAAAAAGATGTCGAAACGTCAGCCGAATAAAAATTTCATACCAACCTCATGTCAGCGAAATAATACAAGAACGTTATCATCAACATGATTTTGAAAAATGTCGACGCTCTCCCAATAACCGTTAAGAATAACAGAAACGTACTACAAATCTTAAAAATATTACACAAAAATGAATAAAGAAGACTCAAAATCGCCTTGGACCCTAGAAGTCCACAACTCGTTGTTGGGAATATGAAGCTGATAAATCTGACCATACGGTTTGATATTTTCGGCCTTTTAAACAGGGTTTGAGTGACGAAGTATAAAAAAAACCAGATGAAACGTGTGGATACCAAGAAACACAAATCAGAAAATTAGAAAAAGTAGAATAAAGGGAAGAAATAGAAAAAGGAAAAAGTCACCAGTCAAGAAAAACAAACCGATATCGTCGTGTTTCCTCTTCGGTCATATTAATGCCCTTCGCATCCAAGCGATCCAATTCCTCATTCACTGCATCATGGGACTAAAAAACAACTGATAATACCAACTTAGTTCATCTGCTACATAGCGAATACAGTGCACCCCATCACACTAGGTCTATTGTGGAATGTCTAATCCCATACGAATACATGGAAAAAAAAGGAAAATAATATTAAACGTACAGAAAAAACATCTTTAAGAAGACCAGTATACTTATTCGACTCACCATTAGCGCCGTGTTCGTTTTTTCAAGATTCCGTAACTCACGATCGAAACCAGTTGTACGAGGTGGAGCTAGTACCACACGAGCCTCCTGTGCTCCGCCAGCTTGAAGAGCCTAAAAAATTAAGGTATGAATCTCTGGCACAGCAAAACTTCAAAAAAATGTGCTGAGAAGATTTAAGCAGAAAGCTTGAAAGTATGAGGCCAACCTACAACTATTAAAATAAAGAGTATACCTGAGTAAAAGCTGTTGGAGCCATTACACCAAATGTGGTTGTAGACCGTGGTTCTTCACGAATTCTAATCCCGTCTCTCTGCATGGGCAGCTCAGTCGGCCGAGTCACCACCATTTCTTGCGGTCTCGTATCAGCCGGACTAGTGTGTGCAAGCGGTTTCGAATAGTTCATATTTCCATTGGTCAATGCACTTTGGGAATTTGGCGAAGTAGAGCTTCTTGGGAAATACGGGACAGATATTGTGTCCTTAGCCGTTAATACAGGTTGATGGTTGGAGTTGGAAAAATCGCTTCGATTCAGCGGAGTCGGCAATGACGTATAAGGGAGAACAGTTTGATGTGACGATGAGGCAGGCACCACAACACGGTGCTCTTCCCGCGGCGAAGAATGTGCAGCCGGAGGTGAAGATGGCAAACTCTGAACAACTATTTCATTGCAAAATTTTGTTCAGAATCACCTCATGCCCATAGAAAGACTTTGCTAAAATCACAGCATATAAAGCGTTTGCAATTGATTTCTTTAACAGTATTCCACTGTGAACGATTCTGCTACCGAATACGGAATATTTTGGCTGTTGAATAGTTAGAGTATTATGCATGTCGATAGCGTGCATTGGTGTTTTGTGGTAAGTTCACCTCGCGAACACCCAAATTATTCCTAGAACATCTACGTAACGCGTTTCCTAAAAAGGCGTGCGTGATGGAAACCTTCGACGTTTCCGCACTTAACTTTTGCTAACACCAACACACTTTCCTTCCAACGAAAACACTTATATCCACCAGATGGAATAACAAAGCATTTTACCCATTTCATGATTAATATAACCAACAAATTAATTCGCTATTTTGCAAATTGCATAAGAAAACTGATATATTCCACTTCAATAAAGCAAGCAGATCATTTAAGATCATAGTTTTTTCTTTTCAGATTTCACTCCTATTACCAAACAGTGGGTGCGAACATATCACCAAAAGTCCACATACCGCTCTATATATGTCGTAGTTGACGTCTCGCACACCTGCAGTGCTATAACCTTGTTGCTGTAGTGGATTAGGTGACCTGAACCCATAAACTCACTCTACAGTGTATAACAAAATTCATATTCACTGCTCTAAAAGGAAAACCACTGGGTCCGAGAAAGCATTTACTTACTGTTCATCAGGTGCACCATTTGTAATTGCGTTAACAGACAAGGAAATTCAGTGAGCATCAGTATAATCTTAATTCGTCTCTAGTACGTCCAATAACTATTTGTTGGGTTATGCTCCCTCAAAGAGCAAACAGAATGTCACACTTCCGGTATAAAGTTCTCAATCTCTGTTTGCAGCTTTACGGTAGCTTCAGAGACCATGCTGTGGGATAGACCTACTCGCACTCTGCATTCTTCATTGAAATATTTAACTCTTCACCCTGTGTAGTTCTTCCAGAAGACGAATTACTTCTTTATATCACATTTCAATATTCAAGAACAGATCGACTGACGAAAAGTTGCAAATTATTAATGCACTACACTTATGAGAAAAAGAAAACAACGTACCTAGGTGGCGCGAACAGATTGGTGGCGCTCGGTGGGCGATGTATAGAAGCGGGTGATTGCGCACCACGCCGCAACGCCGATGGCGACGTCGCCGACGGTCTTCCTAAGATATTTCAAATTGTTAACTGTATTTTGAAAAACTTCCAATTATGTTAACTGGATAACGTAACATTATCGGACGTGTGCACCGAAGTGGTACCGATGCCATTCATTACGTAGAAAGATAGCCTACTCATGTTCGACTCCATTTAGGCCCTACAAAGCCTCCCTTCCTCTTGGCACGGAAAATTGGTACCAAACTTGCCCGTTAGGTGATCGCTTCTCCTAGTCCACGTGGAGACGCTCTAGCACAGGTATACAAGGATTCTAGAGGGAATCGATTCTACCATCATTCAACGACACTCATGAGGACGAAAATGAAAACTCCTTAAGCTGAATGTTGTCAAGTGCTGGTCGAAGTCGATTCTCCCTCGAATCTTGGAATAGCCGGACTTAAGAGTTCCCAGATCATCACCAAAGACAACTGACGGCTTTTATGGATTGGAGAAAGCGAGCTGGCCCCAGACGAATCTGAACACGAATCTCTGGATTTCGGAGAGACGTGGTCTTGGTTGGGCCTGTATGAGTCCGAAGCAAAATTTTGAACGCATTGAATGGCAGCATTACCACAGCATACCAACGGCCCTGTTTTTGGAATTCAAATTTTGTTTTAACACTTTATTGCAAATTTTGATTTTAGACAGCTCCAAGAATGAAGGAATATACCAAAGTCTCTTTTACAGGTTTTTCAAGTTCTCTAAAGAGTGCTCAATTACTCTTATCCAGAAACTATCGACAGTTACCAAAGAACCATCAAAACATGTTGTGTTAGAGACTACTATAAAAAACCAGAATTTCTGGTCCAACTCACTTTATGTAGGTGAAACAACGAAGGATAGAGATAAGAAATGGGAAAATATGAAATCGATCGACATAGCGACCTGGTTGTATCACAGTTGGCCGATTTGAATGCCTATAATGAGGAGGTAGTCGATCGAATCCGCTCACTCCAACCGTTGAACCAGCCAATGAACGTTGCGAAAACGAGGCATTCGGCTAAACAAAAGTAGCACTCTCAATGAAACAATTTTACAGCTTAATACTCGACCACATTTTTATCTAAATCTTACGTCAGCATTTAAATCCAGAGTACTATTACAAGTTTAGCACATGAGAACCTTAAACAATGATTTAAAAACCAGCAAATTTAAAACTGTTACAAGTTTCCCACCCATATAAACAGGATAATCAATAATAAAACACTTATCCTGGGTCCATTCAGCAAACTGTACTTTTTGGATAGCTCTAACATACGAAAATAAAGAGTGAAAATCTTTTGTTAATACTATCCTCGACCATCAATAGTAGGGAAAATGATATGGACGACAGAGATGATTTAGGCATCGGCGCGAAAGGGTTAAAACTTTCATTAACCAATTCCACTGATTTTCGTTGTATATGGATCATGACTGAAATCCAATCCATATTTACTAATGCCGGAATACACATCTTTTAGTCATGACAACTAAATGAGGACCAGTTCAACAAAATAGCAGTAGAAAACGTTGGTCTGCTTATTTGCTTCCACAGAATGAACTCAATACACAAACGAGGCTCTCACCTCAACTCTACGTTCTATCTGAAACTACTGTCCACCTCCTAACCAAATTATCTGTTTATTTTCCCCAGAACATTATCTGTAAAAGCACCCACATCATTCTGATAAAGGTCAGAAGCTGACACGGATCGCATGTGTCGATTGGGTTCGCTTCCGATAGCTGGCACTAGAGCGAACGCCGAGTTGCGGATACCTGACGAAGAAAATTTAAAAGAACATTTTTCAAAGCCAGTTATGCACTCTTCGAATACCATCCACTGTCCGGATTTATCTCGAAATCCAGTACCTTAACAATTCTTCAAACATGTATTTCTCAATGGACTCTTGGACAAATAATTATATATATGTAAGACTCATGGCTTTAAAAAGTTTTAAACATGTCATTCTTGCTTCTGTTAGAAGGAGGGGAACGTTTAGACGTTTCTTCTTTTAATTGCTCCGCTTTCCATTCATTTACCCACAAGCACCACAGAAAACAAATGACAAACATTCATACCACTTTGATCAGAGAAAAGCTAACATTACGGCAATATGCGCGACCAAGAAAATTAAAGATTTCACACACTTGGTTGATGCTTCTGATAGCTGTTGGTCGTCTGCACTGACATTTGGCTACTGCATTCCTGCAGCGGAGCATAATGTGAATAGCTGTTGTTAAAATTTTGTGTGTGATTCGACGATGGCTGTTGAAAAGGATGTGAAAGTTGATGCTGCAACGAACAGAATGTCTGGAGGAATGACACTTATCTGCTAAGTGCAAATTTTCGTGGAACAAAAGTTTTTGGAAAATAAATTTAGGAAACCATCAAGAAATCGAGCGTGAAGCACAATGGATAGAAACAGCGTGCTATTTGTAACCATAAAACGCTCACTGTGCAAAAAGCTGGAAATGCTCTAGAAGAGCCATCCTCGTATTTTAGATAATCAAATCGACCAACATTCAATGACATTCTTGAAAACGAAATACTGAAGGAGGGGCCGAACCCCAGTCCAAACCTACAAAATTTTGTGGATGGCGGATGCAAGACAACGAGCCAAACAAACGAGTGTTAGGATTCACATGTGTCGAGTGATATATAACAAGATAGGTTAAAAGATCGTTAAAAACTGCAACCAGAGTTCAGGCAACTGAAGACAGGGAACTAAAACGCCGATCACACTTTGAACTAAGAAATCTACGACAAAGACAACAATTAGGTTAATCACTGACTGTTGTTGGTTCGATTGGTTGACATAGCCATGCGTCCAAGCCATTACGTAGTGCAGCTCCCTTGCGAACCTCTAAACGAACCTCAGCACCGGCGCGCGCCATATACTCCGCCGCTCTACAAAAAATGTCACCAGTACGAATTCACCTCTGATTTCTTTTCGCTTCGTAACAGATAAAATGACAATTTTTAAAAAATTGATTGAACTGAGAAATGATGAAAAGATGATTCTGGTTTAAAAACGATGCACGACGAGGAGTTCACATCAAACCTCTGTAAGAAAGGAACATAACAAATTCTTCCAACCGCATTCCATAAAGAGAACCCCTCGGTAGAGTGAATTTAAACGCCCCGTCACAAATATTTTAAATGAAAAATAGCATGTGAAATCGAAGTTTCGCGTGTACCGCAGTGGTTAGAGTTGCCCTGCAATACACATATGGACATTGGCTCGGTCCTGCGTCCTAGGTTCATCAATCCCATCTCTAATAGATCCGCAAATTGGTGCCGGAATTGTGTGAGAGGAAATCGACACTGACTTGATACATCGGCAGGCCACCGCAAGTCATTGTACAGGCCGGATATGCTTTCAGTCATCTCTAACGATGGTTCATCAAGTCGAATGAACGGTACCTCCCACAGGGATTGACCAAAGACGAGAGATTTATGCTTTATCATCCTTACATATCTCCGAGTGGTGAAGACATATAGCTTTTATGCACTTTCACTGAGAAACCTACTAATCGTAAGTATATTCCGCGGCAAATCCTGATGACTAATTTAGGGCTACCTCTTCCTCAGGAATAATAACATTAAAAGACTTTACAAAAGCACGGTGCGTCATTTGAGCGAGCGCAACCTACTGAAAACGTTTGGTACGCCTGAGATAAGTAAAGAGATTTTAGCAAAGCTCACATGCACCGCTCACTTGAAGATGCGACTTGCAATAAAAATAATAGTAAAACTATATAAAAACTCACTCTTCTTGCGAAATACCCAGTAATGATTGGCCGTTGACGGAAAGTAGCTGATCACCAGCCGTCAATCGACCATCCTTGAAAAGTTGTTTAACAATTATTACTACCCTTCCATATCACATTATATCACACACTATGGTATATCAATATATTGAACTTAAGCAGTGTTTTGTAGTCGACCACTGTATACTATCGAAACTCGTACATTTATAATCACAGTGATGTATTAATAAGGAATTTTAACCAGCGAAATCCAGCTTGTCCAATTTTTTGGTGTATGAAATACAAGCCTCAACGAAAAAACGAAAAAGTACGCATTGTTGGCCCCAGAAGATCGAGATTTCAACATGTTTGAATTGATTCTATCGGCTTTTATTTCAATTAATAGAGTTCACTATGAGCTGAGATATGTTGACTTGAAGTTGGAATCGATCATTATCTTCGCACCAGATGGATTGAAATCAATTCATCCAATAGAAGACAATAGGTCAATAGAGACGAATTGCACAGCGCATATATAGGGTAGAGATCAACGCGCTTTACCCATTTTATAGATAACAAAAATACAGCATTGGAAGAAACGAACAAGAAATGGACTACGCAGTGATGTTATATCCAATTTTAGTGCCCAATAAAAATGAAACTCGTACAGATATCAAAAGTTGAATTCAAAGCGAATATCAAAAAAACAGCTTTAGAATAATATTAATGTAAAAATGTAAAAGTAACCTCTAGCTCGCTTCCCCTTCCAGAATTGAAAAAGAAAACAAAGATCATGTGAGGCAAGCCATTGTCCAATTTTTAATGAAGGCTATGAAAAATAAATGTCTTTGAAAACCTACCAGCGCCGCTGGACTTCCTGCTACCACTTTTTTCACATAGATACCGATTTGACGATCGCCAACACCCTAAAAATCCCACTTTGATTGGAGGGAATACGAATTGAATCGTAATAGAGGAAAGGAACATATTTAACGATCCACTGATCCCTCCAAAATTTAAAAGCAAACCTCAAGCAACCCGTTGATTACGTTGAAACTACTGCCACTTGTCATAGAAAACATGACACTAAACTTTGCATCCATCCAAAAACGCAGTAAAATAGGCTTTCAACGATTTCTTAGTGATCATGTGAAATTCAATGTTTCTGTGCTTCTATACATAGTAACAAATTTATTCTAGCTTGGTGCTGTACAAATATCAGCAATCGAATTGATCAACTCCTAACAAGATACAAATAAGGGATAACTCTACTAAAATAAATACTTCAATATAATTTCCACAGTAAGTAAAAAAACAAGTAATATTATAAAGCCATGTTTGCGACGCATCTTTTCATGGAATTTTTGACAACGACCAGGCAAATGCAGATTTTTGTCGACGTCACCAACCCGCGCGCAATTAGAAAAGCTCACATAGTCTTTCAGTGTTTCCATTTGACACACAATTTGGATGAAAGAATTAATAGCTCAGAAAGAGAACAAAACTGATACTCATTCAGAACTCTGCGGGTGTTTTCGGTAACACTCGGAATAAATAGACTACTTGACTTCGAACAAGTGGATTTCTATTTAACTATAACAAGAAACGACAACTAGTCAGAAATTCGAGATTTCAATACACTCGATAAGATACCAGTCGTCTTAGTTTGGACTAGGCGTTCTTGTTAATTAGTAAATTTATGACATCAAATGAAATCTATTAGAAGCAGCTTGTTCTGTACGTTGTAAATTAAACCCAAGCACTCACCTTACAAGCGCATATCCAAACCATATTAGGTAAAGGCATAGAAGAAAATAACTAGGTAGGAACAGATTATGGACCACTTAATAAAAAGAACCAAAGAATCGCAGGCCACAAATGGTTTCTCAATTAGTGCGATCTAATCTCTCCTTAACAATGATTCGGTATCTCAGAAGACTTTAATTCACGTACGAGTCAAACGCATAGGACGTTTAACGAAAGGCCGAAAATGGATCTAGACTATTTAACGGCACTACATCGAAGATTTGACGTTGATCGTTATCTGTCGCCTAGACGCTACTGCGCGACAACCAAGGCTTGCCCATTTCGATGTTGTAATTGACAACTCGGCCAAGGAAATGTGAACCAGTTCTTGACCGTCCACATATTACGTGAACAAGAGGGAAATAAAGTGGAAATAATGCTGGCTAACTGCACTAAGCAAAAATTTCTCGTCGATACAAACAACGGTTATCAAAATTCTGTGCAGTTTCCACTACCAGACACGATGATAACCAAAATGAGCCAAATTCTTTTAAAACGTATTTTACCCAATACACGGTCGAATAACCCCACATAAATTCCGATAGGCCTTTAATATTCCTAACTTAAACTCTTAACAACATTTAAAAGTTTTAGCACTTCATGTCAGTGTAGCTCATTAGGATACTAAACGTTCTCGACTGCTTCGCTGTCCTTCAATTCTTTTTGATCCATATCAGTAACCTTTAATACCCAGGGAATATTTCATACTAATATATTTACAAATGTACGGATCTACTTAAAAAAGTAAAGGAACGCAGAAGTGAAAAAAAGTGGAAATGAAGAAATAAAAAAATGAAAGGAATGTAGAACGCTTTTAAAGTAATTGGAAACTAGACACACCTGTGCTGCCACTATACTCAACCCAATACCGCCTCCATTTCGTTTTAGTACTACACGAACAATCTCCTCTCCCACACTAGTTAAGCTGTCTCCCTAAACAGTAGAAATTGTTCCCATAAACATGAAGTGGTTAGATCACGTGAAAATTTATGAAAACTGCGTACGAAATGTGTAGTTGGCAGACTTCCCAATGTTGACTGTGACGAACTTCGGAGGACTGTTGCTCTAACCGGCACCTGTGGCGATGAGCACGAAACAAGTGGGCTTGGTCGCTGCTAAAAGAATTGTTTTGAAACGTTTTAAAATCTTCTTATAAGGTTTTCCCTAGTATGAAGCAGAAATAAGATGGAACTGACCGTAACAGCCTTATTTCTGACTAGTTGTGACGCTTGCCAAGCAGTCTCGTTTGACTCTTGCATTGAAACCGAATGGCACAACCCTTTTTCCTGTAATGACAACAGGTACTGCATAAGTCCATCCGGAACACCACGGAGTTGTTCTGAAAACGGAGAATTTTTAGATCCTCTTTAGCAGATCTCCGTCAGAAATATTCGAAAACAATTTGAAAAAGCTAACGATAATGGATATAAGACTTTAATACGCCCACCAGCGGTATATCCATCTTGAGGAAACAGAAACGGCAAAAGTAATTGTTCCGTCTCCGCAAGCGTTATCGGATGACCATCCTATAAAAATATTCAAGTAAAACCGTGGAAAAAGTACCATAACGTTCGCCATAATTGTGCGGGATTCTACCTGCTAAATTATGTGGTGTAAAATGCATTAAAAAAAAATAACCACATATCCAACCCACTGCCAGCCATTTTCTGTGACAGGCGCATGAGATGGCGCTTAACATCGTATCTTCACATTTGGAAATGTTTTGCACTTTATGCTGAGTCTATTTCTCCATTTTTAAACCCACCGTTCCATGGAATAAACATGAATCATCATAGTGAATAGAGTTAGAACAACAGTGGGTTATCAGCGAAATTACCGGGACTCGTTCAAAAAAGGTTATTGAACATTTCTAAGCACCGAACAGATTTTCCTGGGCATCCTCCACCACTTCATTTGGGGTTTAATAATGTATGGAATGATTTTAAAAAAGGCGATGAAAATATTTCGTGTGGCACAAATGGACGAAAGGGAAATGAGTCATACACAACTCACCTATGGGTCTCGGATAATGCGTGATTCATATATGACTCATTTCGTGGCCAATGTGCTGATAAATTATGGCCTTTTAGCAAAATTCAACTTCACAGTTCTGAATAAATCGGTACATTATCGTTCACAGAGCAGCCCATAACTAAGTGACCATTCCAGGAGAGTTATACAATTATTGTTTGAGCGCCGTACTGCTCCATTGTTTCTTCGCAGTATCCTATATTGTTGTAAAGGCAATAACACTTACACACTAGGAACAGTTCGAATTCATCCGTCTTTCCATATAATATATCAATATATTTCTGTAATTGTTAGACAGTTGGGAAATCTGGCATAAGAAGATGACGTTCTGCGGCATTCAGGAGCATTGGAATGACACTTTCATGACAAAAAGCCAAAACGTAATTCAACATTGTTAAAACAAAACCAACCCTCTTTCAACAAGTTTATACATTCGCCAGTTCCTGCTATCACTGAAGATGAGTTTACAATGCGGCCAGGCAAGAGATCTCACCTGAAGCGTCAAATTATCTGCTTGACGTTCAGCTAGGCCCACTACACGGTTTATAACATCATCGTCACATGGTATTTCACCGTCCTCTGCCGAAAAGTGCGTAAGAAGAAATCGAACCTAAACAACGAACAAATTAAATGGACATGATAGTCGAAATCCTGGGTACTCATTTAAGTCAAGTGACTATAAATCAATTTTGAAAACATAAAATAGAATTAAACCAGAACAAAAATCAGTGAAACTCAAAGCTACAGTACTAATGATGAATTGCGAGGACCAGAAAAGTAAACCCAAATGCACAGGTGGAAGGTACAGATCAAAACATTCGTGCATGAATTTACACATGTCTAGACAATATCACATCTTTCTCTCTCCAATTTTAATATTCTTTAATGCGAATTTGGCTAGTGTTAATTAAATTTCGACATAACATTTATCATATGTCTCATAGCTAAAATTTATATGAGCCATAAATGAATTATTGTGGATCGATATCAAGATGTGCTACATACATTTCTTGTCATTATTGTCAACCAAGCACGTGAAGGGCTTAGAAATGGTTAGAGGTGCTCTGCAGTTCACACCGTATCGATCCCTGGTTCAATCCTGTGCTTTGAGTTCACCTATGGGCTTACCAAGCCTTCCATCGCTTCGAGGTTGGCAAACGGAACTGACTTGATACATCGGTTTGGTCCGGCAATTTACTGTGGAGGGCAGATATGCATTCAATCACCTCTACGGTGCATGATTCAGTCGAATGCATAGCGCATCCGTCAGGGATTGATCAGCGCCGATCGCTTTATCATTAATCCCTTTATCTCAGCCCATACTTGATTGTCTTAGTTGGGATGAAAACCACTAAAATTTACAGACCTTGTCCTTCAAAACACAGGTTATTTTACTTAACCACGATAAAATTGCGATTTTCTGGAACCATAACATACACCTATCTCACTGTCAACAGTGAATTAAATTACAAGTTTGCTTATATTTGCTACCCCAGTTTTTCCATATTCAGCAAAACTAAGACCTCCCACCATTTTTTAAATTACATGACCTGTCATCACATCTACTGTGCGGATGCCAGCATTTCTCGCACTAAATTTGTTTTCCTCGCACCCATTGTCGAGAATGGTATTCGAACATTTCGCGTGATCTTTCAATTTCTGCTTGAGAATTTTGTCTTCTTTATGAATGTTGTAGAATGCTGGTCGAGTCAATTCTCCTAACAATGTTGGAAATAGCCCGGCTAAGGCGTTCTCACGTGGACTGAAGGGCAGTATTGGGACGGGGATGCAAGTAGCGCCTTTGCTCTCTGATCAATGACACCACTAACCATTGCACTCTCCCCGCCACACTATCCCTCATCTACCCAATAGGATGGGAGTCAGGGGAATGTGGCTTCTTCTGATTTTGACGATAAATACCCATCTTAGAGTAGGCAGGGAGTCTATTTTGACCGAGACAACTGGAACCAAATCAAGTGTGGTTCCCAGCCGTCCAACACCGCGCAATTTCCGCCGAACGAATGTGGACAGTATAACGCACATAGATGCAAGCGTAAATGATTATGCATGGACGAGGTCTAGGAATCCTTTAATGAGAGAGATCCGTGGAGTAAGAGACATGGTAACTATATTATGAATTGAAACTCCGTTTCAGTTTAGCGCTGAAGTTTTGCAAAATTGACAGCATTTCTGCAATTTCCCTCCCAGCTTAATGCATTACTAAAAAAACATAGTAACAAAGTAGTAACAAACCTGTAAACTGTTCAACTTGTAGCAGGTGGCTCCAAGTGCTGCTACATCATTTTTTTGAGCAGCCAACAATGCAGCAGCCTGTCGACTTCTGTCCAGATGACATTCGGCTGCCAACTCCACACCCATTTGTTCGGCCCAGCTGTAATAAAAGATTAACAACTATTCATCTCCGTAAAGATGAGGTAATTCAAGAACTATTTTACGGCTGCATAGTTCTGTTTCTAGTTGGAACACCAAGTGAACTACCCTTGAGTACTCTCACCCAAAACAGTAAAAAATAAGAGGATTCGTGCAGAGTATGACACCTTTTATCATTCGCGGACGAGCGGAACTCACTGGGAAGCTCTGAGTGCTCACAGGATACAAACACAACCTTTACTGGTTTCCTACCTAGTTAAATGATAAATAGCGTGGTTGTAATTGGTATATGTGGTGGTTCTAAACTTTATGAAAAACGGTACACAATGTCACACTAGACAGAATTCTCATACTCTTCCATGCAAACTTGAACATTTAAAAGAATCTTCACCTTGATGCTAAAAAACTCCAAACTACCTACCAAAGAGTCTAGCTAGAACTTTAAAACCTATTTTTCTAGTCATCACAACCAAAAATCAGTGGAAATCACCTATGAATTGAAGCGAGCCTTGCCCACAAACACCTTCCAAGTCGTGTCGTCAGATGAGCAGGCTTAAAGAGAATTAAATATGCCCAGTTTTCAGAAAGCAAAAAGGGATATAATCGTAGTTCACATGAGCATTGAGACTTGTTTACGTTAAGCAATGAAATTATAGCTTTCATATGTTAAAAAAAAACATCCACTGAAGAACATTCTTCAATAAAACTCTACATCACTTGCCGATGAAGACACCCCAACCAGTGTATTGAAAAGTGTCGCATTTATGGCGTGTAGTACATGGCTACATAGCTGTATTGTTAACGCTGCGTTAAGGCGAGACGATCGGGCTGCACGCATAGTGCCGTCAAGTAGTGATAACAACTCATCTAAAGCATATTTAATACAAAGAGAATGAAAATAGAAACAACAAAGATAGATATTGAAGGTGGCAGAAAATAAAAAGAAAACAGGAAACACAGACGAGAGTAGAAAGAGACGAGGCAGAAACACGAACGGAACAAGGAAGTTCCATGGAATCGCATTTCTGTTGCGTTTCATAGTTCTTTTATTCCAGTAACGATATGTGGTATTCACGGACGGCAAGAAAAGTTCATAAGAATGCAATCAACCCACTGCTTCCGTCTTCAACAGGAATTGTGACGTCCAACATTTTTTTACAACTGGGTCGAAGTGCACCAACTAACACTGTACACAACCTTCGGAATACATTCTCCATAGCTGTTATTAACTGACCCGCTCTGAAGCAAGCGCAGCTACTAAACAGCGTTCAACTACACCTAGTTACTGCAATAACTTAGCAATTACCTTTGAGATCGCAAATCTTGATCTCTGTCTACTAGGAATGACAGCTCGCTTGCATTCGCCAACCAGAACAACAATTCATCTCGAGAGGTGCATTCCTGTGATGATACTTTCTTTACATACTTTACTTTACTTACATTCTTTACATTTCTTCCAACTGTTTTCTCTTTTCTGTCCAATTTTTTTTTCGTTAGCAGTACATAATCACAGAAGGAAAGGCCTTTCCATCTCATTTCTCAAATACAGTACGTGATAATTTATTCATTGTCACCGATCAAATATTTACTACTTTACCAAAACTCTAGCTCAAACTCACGAACTGTTCTGGAAAGTGCCACTAATTTATAGCTGATTCTTTGCTAATAACTGCTTAAATAATAAAACTACGGAATAAAACCTAGACGTAAACTCATCATGTTAACACAAACTCCTTTAAAATGTCACCCATTCAATAAAAGGACCCAACAACTCCTCAAATTTCATAATATTGCTTATCTTCATTGCCATTCTAATTATCATTCGAAGAATGACAAAATTACATTTAAAAAAAAGCCTTACACTAACTTAGAAGTGTGCAGAAGATGTGTTTGAAATAGTGCGTGATGTGAGCAGAAAGGCGCAAAAATTTTTAAAATAGAAATGCAGAAACATTTTCAATTTTCCTTGAGAACAACCTTGTTTTAGTCCAACAATCTAAGAAAATGGCAGGATCAGACGCCTTTTAACCTTGGCATTGATAAAGAGTTTGATCATCAAGAAAAATAGTGAATTTAAGGAAGCATTATAAAAATAAAACCTACTAGGTGAGCAACGACACTGCTCCACCCTCACGGCACAACTTCATTTTCTCAAATTCATTGAATGTGTTTAAATTTATTTTAGCAAGTTTTCGATAGCATGCAAACAGTAGATTTTTCCCATCTCTCTTGCATATTTGAAGAATAAAAGACGTACAAATAATAATATAGATTCCTCAAAACCAGTAATTTTCGTTGCAATTCTTGCGTAAGCATTCTAACGACGTCAAATAGAATCGTTCACTGAAAGGTCACTAAACAATATTAAGGCATTTACCTGTGAGATCTGGTTTAAATGATGAGCAATGCGTGTGAAGAACTGTACCAAATACGCTTTTGAGTGTGAATGGAAGAATCTTGATGCTAGATACAACGAATAGGCAGGCGACAGTCTGAACGGACCAGCATCCGTCCATCCTCTTGACATCACCTCAATTCAGCACTACGAGTTTAACATGTTCAATTAAAACTATGCGAATATACGTGTGATTCCTATTTATACTGCAACTACCTGTGAACTATTTGGTTATGAGAACTATTTTTATTCAGTGTTACTTGATACGTGAATGATCGACGCTCGCTGCTTGCGCGAACACCAATATAAATTCCATTTGACTGCTATTTTATTAAGAGGGCAAGGTTCGTTTCCCCGAGGTAGTTGCAAACTTATGCCACGCCGTTTTCAGTCATCACAAGTAGGCACCGCTCTCTGTTGATAGGAATCCTTGCTCGACAACATTCCTCCAACACCGCGATGACCCTTGTAACCCATTCAACCTTCAGCTTCCTGCTGAATGGTTAGAAACATCGTACACTTTGTCAGCGTTGAAGACCCCATGGTGAAGATAAGCCCCTATTGCTGCAAATTGTAGTTTAACATGCAAGAACACTATCTAGACATGATTATATCTTGAAAGCGAATTTCACTAAATCTTCGAACATAATCTTGAAAAAGGTACATACCTCAGCGAGATAATCCCAAACTTTGTAATCACCAATATGAAGTGAAACTGGCAGGTTCGTACCCAAACCACACGAAACTGGCCCAATTCCATTGAAGGCTTGACCTGGAGCCGCAGTTTGGGTTGAAAGGATGGTGCCAACTTGATCGACATGATGTCGAGCAGTTGACGAAGGGGAAAGCCTAAACATTTACAGGAAAACTAGAATTAATTCGTCTAAAATGTAACTTAAATATAGAATCACATATACGGTAAACCTAAACTAACCAGCGTAATGAAGTAAGACACAAATTACTACAAGACAAAATGTAAACAGCGGCATACGTTTTACCAATTCATGCTACTTCATGATGAGCTAACAAAGCAACTTGTGCATCCAAAACTTTGAACCGATTAGTTAAAGCATAGCTGTGTTAAAAGAAAATAGACACACTTCATGCAAAAGACAACATACAAGAGTGGTGGATATGAATTCAAAACCTAAGGCTAATCAGCTTCAGCAAGATATTACTAATTTCATGCCGATCTTTGTACTACCCAAAAATTGATGAATATTGTCCTAGTTATAATCAGTTGTGATACTTACAGTGCTTTCAACTGATTGGGCGTGATCGTGCTCTTCCAAGGATCATACAAGCTTTCTAGAAGACCATGAGCGGAGCTGTACCGCTTCATTTCCAGTACAACCTCAGATTAGCTAGGTTAACAGTAAATTTCGAACGTCGAACACGAAGCCAAAAGATACGATAAAAGTGATAAAATAACAAGAAAAAAGTTAGAAGACACGAAATTCTAGTTTAATAATATCAATACTCATCATATAAGTTGAAAACAATCGTCTCCAAGGAAAAAATGTGCAGAAAAACAGGTCTAGAAGACTAAAAACTGGTGCAAACCAGTATCAAATTTGCCACTGCTGCTTCAACAGGAATGACCGGATTATTCCAATGCGTTTCTGACAGAAATGTAATCAATAATTATCTACTAGATTGATGAAAATCTTTAAAAAGGGTTCAGCAGTTGTACATAATTTTCCTGTTGCATGCCAGCTATCACATAACTAATACCTTCTTTGACCATTAATGCTGACTTTAAAAGACGACCGACTTGAAAATACCAGATGATTATCAACTACTACTAGTTAGATTTAGTGGAAAGACTGCTATAGATTGAGATCGAAAGTGATGGCGTGTTTCAATACGCTTTTTCGTTTCACTATAACTATTCCTACCACATATGCAGATAATACATAGTCCCGTGCGGTTTCCGATATTTATCTGATTTACTATAAACAGTTGTCTATCTCTCCTATGGATTCTCCCAGACAACTATTTTGCGCAAAAACATAGTCCTAAATAACCTCATTGCATCGACGAGCTAACGTCATTCACTAGCTTCACATTCTAAAGCCACTACAAAGTATGTTAAAACCCAAAATCCAGTTATTCAGAGTCTTACACAATAATCTGATGTGACTCTTGACCCTGTGTTCACATATTTTTTTTATTTCATTTGATCCGTCTTCACGTCTACTGTGCGAATCCCAGCACTTCTCACATCTAATTCGTTTCCCGGCATCCATTGTCCACGAAAATCTTCCAGCTTTTATGTGTGGCTTGGGCTGCTGCTTGAGGATTTTCATGCAATTCTCCCTGGAGACCTGCGATAGCTGGGCTGGAGCGTTCCCAATTGGATTGCAAAGAGTGATTTTTCCCAGACAAGTCCGGTACCAATTCCCCGACGTCGGAGGGATGAGAGGCTTGGTTGACCCAGAGCGGAATCGAACTAGGACCATGTTCGTGATGACGGACATCACTACCACTGTGCTATCCACCCACTCTATCCATATTAAAACTTTCAATTCTATTAAAATGTTCTATCGATACCTCACACGTCAGCAAGTATCACTTCGACACTGATGCAGTAAGAAACCGGTAAGTTCGTTTAAGTTATAGATTAAATCCAAGATCGGAGCGTAAACCAGTGAACGTAAAAATAAAAAGAGGACAATATCTGCAATAATTAAGCGATATGATCGTTGGTATGAGGTAACAGCGTTTTAAAGCAACAAACAGAATCAATTTCTCAAAGAACTTCTTTCCTCATCCAACATGAATGAAGCAACCAGCAGTGAAAATTTTAAAGCTTACCACACATCGTTAACTCACATAACAACCACTATTAAAATTTGACTACAGAGAAAAATAAAGGAAATGTTCCAGCACAAGAATACTCTTCTAAACCGACAGTAATTTGCCTACTTACACAAGTTCAGCTCTAATCCTTCTGTACCCATTCGAAAATATTCGTCTAGGAACACATTCATCGCAATTTTCACTTACTGTGAATGATCGACAGAGAGCAAAGGAGAACCACCAGGGTGAAGCATAGCATTTCGCCATGTGTTCCCAGACTGTGCACCAACCATTACAGTCACCTCATCAAACCAGCAGCGAACGCTCCATTTAAAGAAAACATTTACATGAATACCATGATCTTCATGGAAATTCTTGTTAACAAGCAGCGATCAAAATGCACTGAGTATACCGTGTTTTTTGGGGCAATTACTGCTACTTCCAACTTTAACTCACTCCACTCCTATGGGCACTAAAATGTCCATAGCGATTTGGATCAGACGTGTGGCCACTATAGCTCTACATTTGGTTCAGCCGGATTCAGTTCCGTAGCTTTTTTTCCACCGCACTATTCATTCGATAGCTAATTGAAAGCAGATCAAAATGGGATGGACGGGACCAGAAAAACCAATCTCTACACTTAATGAGCTACAAAAAACCTTCCTCAAAAAGTTCATTGGCCGGTGACATAACCAAAAAACCACTGCTATTTCATTTTAATCGCTGTGGTCATTGTATAGAATGTGCTGACATAAATCTTCGAAACAGACTCAGAATGGAAGCAAAATACCTCAAGATATTTGCGGCACTGCATTTACAATTTGGACCATAGTAACATACAGTAAATGATAGCATACATATCGGTAATACTCACAGAACGATACGGCGAAATCTCTCCTACCATTTATCGTCCTCACAACTCCCAAAGCACTCTAGTTATTGAAAAATTAATTTTTATCAAGAAAAACCAGTAAAGACCTCAGTCGAGGGAAAAGTGCTCGTTCCCGATTGGGCCAGCCACGAAAAATAGAGCCAGAGTGGAGTGCATTAAATATCTTAGTCCAACATATCTTAGCTCATGCTAAATTTGAAAACCATTCTAATTTACAGATCTTTCCTCATAAGATCCAAGTTCTCATGTTCTACCACGATGAAATTACGAATTTTTGGAGACCTGCTTTTTCACTCTTTCGCCAAATCCTCGTATTCCGAACAGGAACAAACAGGAACAGGCAAATGTTTCAACGAATCCGACATTATGGTTTTCTCCAACACATCATTAGTGTTCGCGACTGCCGTTCTTGTATCAGATTTAAAACCTGAGACTTTAAGACCTCAATTAGCTTTAAACGTACTCTGCACAAAACCTCTAACGGCCGACTTTGCCTTGCTACCGCGTGAAACGACGCACAATTTCATGTCGGTCATGAACCTAATGGGTTTTTTTTTGATAATTAGCTCTTTAAGAATTAGGGGAGGTATAAGATACCAGAACTATAGTGAGGACTTTGCTCAATCGCTCTTTGAATACATACGTCCTTATTTACTATATGTTACTACGGTCTACGATACAACCACACTGCTGTCAGCAGTTGGAAATGTTGAGCAGTTGGTCCACTTCGATATCTCGTCCATCTGTCCATTCCATAAAATAACAATGACCTATCATAACAATTATAAATGAGACAACAATTTCATACCAGTGAAATTACCAGTCGATGGACTTACCCAAAAAAGGTTTCTTGCAAATAATTGAGCGTGGAGAACAGCTTTTCACAGGCTAAGCCTTATGCAACATTCGTATTGGAGAAGATATCAACTGATTACAAAAAATGCAACAGAAAATCTCTATGTGGCAGAACAAACCGCTAAAAATAAAATGAGCTCTGTAGTACGCCTCGCTCAATAGCCTTATGTGTGCATTGGACACAATACATCTTTTGTGTTATGGGTTAAAAATAAGGGAATATCCTGTAAAAAAGGGACGCGTGTGGGGCAGTGGTTGGAAACGCCACTGCGACACACACGTGGAATTGATTCCCGCACCCATGGCTCACCAGGCTTTCCATCCCTCCGAGGTCGGCAAACTGGTACCAGACTTGTCTGGGAGGATAGCAGCACTGACTCGATAGATCGGCTGGCCACTGCGAATCATTATAAAGGCCAGATATGCATTCAATCACCACCAACGATACTTAATGAAGTCGAATGCATGGCGTGCATGGCGCATCTCTCAGGGATTGACCAACGCCGAGAGCTTTATCCTTTATTCTACAAAATTTTATATGCGCTAGCGACGACAGAGCAAACCTTTCCGTATAAGTACGTGGATCCCCAACTTCTATAAAACAACGATCGAGGAATTATCAGAAGTCATTGAAAAACCAAATTCTGATTTTATGCATTAACACTTAAGAACTTATTCGAATTAACTACCCATATGGTGCAAAAATAATTCTAAATTGAAACAACAAATCTCAGATCACAGTGCACTTTCTTAAGTCGAATAAAAAATGTTGGAATTCACAAGTCATTTCCTATAAGACATAAGACCTGCTTTACTACAATGGATCTCTAACTTTCTTAAGCCCACCTAACGTATTTTGTGCACTTTTCTCACCAAAGGTCATATTTTGAAAATAAAAGCATTTGAACAAGCGACGTTTCGACGATTGCAACAAAATGAGGCCCAAAAATGGGCCGTTGATGTCTATGGTAACTGGGGTTTGGTTGGAAAATTTAAAAGTTAAAAAATCGTTTTCATTACTTTGGAAATTTTAATCGTAAACCATTTGAAACAACGTAAGAACTCAAACAACAGTTATAAACAACCATACTCACTAACAAAAAACTCAAAGTCTCTGTCATAAGCCGATCACGCTTTCGATTCTTCAAGCACTTTAGTTATTGAATCGAAAAAATGCCAGCATTATGCGAAGAACCAGTTTCGGGCCCTAGGTGCTAAACATTGTTAATTAAAAAAAAAACCAAGCCTCCATCCATTGTCCCACTATTAAATACTGGTCATTCGCTACCAAAAAAGTATTTCGCTTTG